AATGAATAGAATAGAATAGAAGCTGGAAGGGACCTTGGAGGTCTTCTAGTCCAGCCCCTGCTCCAACAGGAGAACCTATATGATAACTAGATAAATATCATGAGTACATCAAGTCTCGGATAAGGCAGTACAAGGAGTCCTTGACTTACGATCGCAATTCAGGCCAAAATTTCCCTTGCTAAGCAAGTCAGTTGTGAAGTGAATTTCACCCCATTTTACGACCTTGCTTTCCACGGTTGTTAAGTGAATCACAGCACCTGTTAAGTTAGCAACACGGTTGTTAAGTGATTCTGGCTTTCTCACGGACTTTGCTCATCAGAAAGTTGCAATCACATGACTCCGGGACACTTCAACCGTCATAAATATGAGTCAGTTGCCAAGCTTCAGAATTCTGATCACATGACCCTGGGGATTCTGTAATGGTTGTTAAGTATGAAAACCAGCCGTAAGTCATTTCTTCCAGTGCCGTCGTAACTTCGACCGGTCACTAAACGAACTGTTGTAAGTTGAGGACTTACTTGCACAGGCCAATGACCATGGGGACGCTGCAACGGTCGTAAGTATAAAAAAAACGGTCATAAATCGCTTTTTTCGGTGCTGCTGCTGTAACTTGGAATGCTCATTAAACTAACGGTTGTAAGTCGAGGACTATCTGCACACTTGCGTGCGAGTCCAAAGTTAAGGACAATTCACGCGAAATTCCAAAACTCTCGTTGTACATGCCGTCCCCTTCTTCCCAGCCCACGCAGTCTCTCACACACATGTGCACGCCGCAAAAAAAACGTTCCCCTCTTTATCTGGATATTGTCGTTTTATTGTTTCCAACTTTTTTTTTTTTTTTTTTTTAAAAGAAGGCATCTCCACCAGGGAGGAAATCGGTCCGCGTCAGACCTAGTAGGGGGGAAGCACTGCACTTGCTCAATGTCTGTGGCTTTTACACAGTTCCAGATGTCTTGCGCATGAATCATGCGCGGCCCCAATCTCTCTGTTTGAAACTTGAGAACGTGCAAATTGCATTCAAGCCTCTCTGCCCTCATTAATGGTCCCCTTACAAGCCCAGCACTCTGGAAAAATGCTTTTTTTGGCCTTTGTTTAAAGTTTGTGATGTTGCCATTGACTCACTTTTAACAGCCAGCGCTCAAAGCCTCATGCTTTTAAAGCAGGGGAACTCAACAGGCTGCCTTCTTTATCTGGGGGGTGGGGGGCGAAATTTATTGAATTTAATTCAGATCACTCTCCTTTCTTCCCGCAACCTGAAACATTTCTGCTCAAGATCTAATTTGAGACATATTTGACAATTTCCCACGTTATTTCGGATACCCTTAAGGTTATGAGTGTGTTCCTCCAACATAAATGAAAGTCAATGAGAAAATTTAGGGGGGATTTTTTTTTTATTTTTCCAAATAAGGAGCAGAAAAATCTAAAAATGAGATTTGGTGTCCCATTAGACTGTGTTGTTTTTCTGTGTTATATGTGTGTGTGTGTATGTGGTTATGTGCATAATCTTTTGTCATGTTATGTAGTGTATATTGGAGGTGGTTACCCTTTGAGAGCTGACTGCAATGAAATTTTATTTTAATGTATGCTGATTAGCGTACATTTAAAGTGACAATAAAGTTATTCTATTCTATTCTATTCTATTCTATTCTATTCTATTCTATTCTATTCTATTCTATTCTATTCTATTCTACCTCATTTATTCCATTCCATTCCATTCTAATTATTTCAATTAAGGTTCTATTCTATTATTATTTCAATTAAGATTCTATTCTATTCTATTATTATTTCAATTAAGATTCTATTCTATTTTTATTTCAATTAAGATTATATTTTATTCTATTTTTATTTCAATTAAGATCCTATTCTATTCTATTCTGTTCTGTTCTAATATTATTTCATTCTATTCTATTCTGTTCTGTTCTAATATTATTTCATTCTATTCTATTCTATTCTATTCTATTCTATTTATTTCAATTAAGGTTCTATTCTATTATTATTTCAATTAAGATTCTATTCTATTCTGTTCTGTTCTAATATTATTTCATTCTATTCTATTCTATTCTGTTCCGTTCATCAATGTGTCCAGCAATTCAACAGCCATAAGTGTGAAAAAGGGTCATAAGTCACTTTTTTCAGTGATGCAACTTTGAACGGTCACTAAATGTACTGTTGTAACTTGAGGACCACCTGTAAGTGGCTGGGCTCCTTTCCAAAGAACCAAGAAAGTAAGTTCACCAATTGCCTAAGAGTAAAGCTTTGTAAAACTTTCCTTTCTCCAATTTCAGATTTAATTTAAAATCACCGAGGGGGTTAATTCCCATGGTTTTGTGGGCCTGCTTTCCCAGGGCCCCAAATGGACGCGGCCAGGATGAAAAATGGCCGCTCACCATCTCCCTTGCACATAATTATTTTTACAAGAAGTGTTTACCGTCATATACTTAGTGCTCTGGCCCTTGGCCAAATCAATGTTGAAGAGGAAGAGTCAACACTGAGAATGGTCAAAATTTCCCCAATAATAAAAAAAAATGAATAATATTTCAGTGTTGGGGTCTATCGGTGCCATGCAAAGTTCCCATCGCAGCATCCCTGTGATGTAAAACAATTAAGACTTTTTTTTTTTCCCCTCTTGACTTGGGATAGCAGACATATTGAACGACTCGCGCCAAGATGTAGTAGAGACACCAGGCAGGGTGTATTTAAAAGCAGACAGATTGGCGACAGGCACCTTAAGGACCCTTATCTTAATCTTGTTTAAAAGCACCTCGGGTTTTTCTGAGTAATCGTTTCACTTTATAATATTCTGCTTTATGGGATGGGATGTGTGCTTCTCCGGAGAGCTACCGATTTGACTAAAACGTTTTTATCGCTCACGTTCATTTACGGCGGTGGCCCCCCATCGGTAAGGCTTGCAAGACTCTGGGATCAGTCACGATTTTTTTTTTTTAAATGGGCACCATTAAAGCTCACACCAATGAGCCGGCTTAAAACGGTAGACTGAATCAAATCTTTGGATGGCCACAGATAGACAAAAGGCCACCATTTGATGGAGTAGTAAAAGTGAAGGGGACAAAATGGCTGACTTGGAGCAGCCTTCCCCACCCCACCTTTTTGGGAAAGAAAAGGAATTGATGTACAGGTAGACTTTGAACCATCACTAAGTAAACCTACATTTACATTCGGAGGCTTGACTTAACGACAGTTCATTTAGTGACGGTTCAAAGTTACAACGGCACTGAAAAAAAAGTGACTTATGACAGGTTTTTTACACTTATGACTGTTGCAGCATCCCCGTGGTCATGTGATCAGAATTCAGACACTTGGCAACTGACTCATATTTACAACGGTCCCGGGGTCACGTGATCCTCTTTTGCGACCTTTTGAGGAGCAAAGTCAGTGGGCAAACCAGATTCACTTAACAACCGTGTTACTAATTTAAGAACTGCAGTGATCCACTTAACAAATGTGGCAAGGAAAGTCGTAAAATGGGGCAAAACCCACTTAACAAATGTCTCGCTTAGCCATGGAAATGTTGGGCTCAATTGTAGTCGTAAGTCGAGGATGACCTCTATTTATATATACCATTGCACCATGACTTTAATTTTATTACGTTTTACAAGCTCACTAAATGAAAGAACAGAAAAAGACCCAACCAACTTGATAGCCATCACACAACACACTGACAAATGTCCTCCTCTCAGCTTCAATACATGACATCAATCACTGGATCCTGCTGTGATCTGATTGGCTCATTGCCAAAACAAGATGATACCTGATTGCTCTCTAAACACTCGTGCTCATTGGCTACAATCAGGTGAAGGAAAGCTACCTGAGATCAACCTAAGCAAGGTGTGCTTCCTTTTTCTGGTTATTTGGCTATAACTTTTCATAGAATACAGTACAGATAATTGAACAAAGTTTGCTGCATTACGTTCTTGATTAAATTATCCTTCCATTGATATATAATTTTATGGTACTACTCCCAAAAAAAAAAGTGGTGTTATTAGCCATCAAACCTCAAAAATACACTTTTTCCAAAAGTTTTCCCACAATTTTGGCCACTACTGTATATATTCCTAATCAGCTGCAGCTTATCATCTCCTGGCTGAACTTCTGTTCCCCCAGAGAATGGATCATAGACCTCAAAAATGGCTCCCAGGAATTCTGGGAGTTGAAGTCCACAGGGCAAAAAGGGGTCACAGTGGCCTATCCCTGTTCTGGAGAGCTGCCAGCTCAATTGTGGATGGCCTTTCATGAGACATCAGCATCAAACAATGAGATTGAGGAATGAAAAGACTGTTCCGCTCACAATAAACAGAAGTGGATTATTTAAATTAGCATTCACAACTTGGTAGTCCTGGATTACATAGAAACCTGTACAGGTGGTCCTCGATTTACAACAATTCATTTATTGACCGTTCAAAGTTACAACATCACTGAAAAAAGTGACTTAGGACCGTTTTTCACACTTTCACCAACCGTTGTAGCATCCCCATGGTGGATTATTGACATCTGGACGCTTGACAACTGACTCACATTTATGACGGTTGCAGTGTCCCTGGGGGTCATGTGATCCCCTTTTGCGACCCTTCTGACAAGCAAAGTCAATGGGGAAGCCAGATTCGCTTAACGACCGTCTTACTATTTAACAAGTGCTAAATACAGCAAGAAAAGTCGTAAAATGGGGGCAAAATTCCCTTCACCAATTTCTCACTTAACAACGTAAATTTGGAGGTCAATTGTGGTCGGAAGTTGAGAACTACCAGAATATTATTCCTTTTGGGAAAATTTTGGGAAAAACTGATAGTTTTTGGTCGTAAGTTGAGGACTACCTGTGTTTATATTTTTATTACATTTTTCCCCCCTCAACAACGTTAGCTTATCACTTCCTGGCTGATTTTCTGTTAACCTTTAATTCACAAATGGCTCTTTCTAAACAAAAGAGTCAAACGCACAAACAAACACACACACACACCTCTCTGGAAAAGAGTGATGGGCTTTACCTTGTAAGAGGGCAAAAAGCACAAAACCCCACGTTGTACCGTCCGACAGACTGACAGCAAGAGCTCACCGACTTCATCTTGAAACTCAAACGTTTCCGTGTGCTGGAAAGTTGCCCGTAACTCCCTGTGTTTCGGGCCGGCTCCAATGGTACCGACCCAGACCTGTTGGGATATTGATTTGGACATTGGTAAGCAAATTTCATTCAGGAATGAAATTCCCAGGATGAAGAAAACGGCAAAGCCAGCATTTAAAAGAGATTAATAATAATAATAAAGTTGGAAGGGACCTTGGAGGCCATCCAGTCCAACCCCCTGCTCAGGCAGAAAG